GTGGAGCAGACACTTCACGGGGTCTTGATTCCATCCCTCCGTGAAGCAGCCGAGGGCTGTGTGAAACCAGGATGGATTACCGTCCCTGCCAGACGTCTCTTGGCTCTGGAAGCCTTTGCGGGGTTGTTGGAGGACGTAAACAGATGCCTTCGCCCTGCTTGGCCCTTGGAGAGGCAGCTCCCTTCGCTGGCCTTGACCGTGGCCCCTGGAAGCCGTGTGGACTTTGACTCCCAGCATTCTGGCTGGGGAATTCTGGGAGTTGAAGTCCAGGCGCCTTGAAGTGGCCACGGTTGAACAACAGTGGATGGGCCAGTCTTCCTCCTCTTCCTCCTGGCTCTGCTCCGGCCTCTTGAGCTGCGTGGATCACAAGGACCCTGCTGGCAGGAAGGCTCAGGAGCTGCTCCATCCTCCGAGAGACCCTTCGCCAGCAAACACCCCCCCCCCCTGGGGGAGCCAGTGCCACTGCGGAAGAGGGCCTGAATGCCGGAGTTGGAAGGGACCTCGGGGGGGCTCCTAGTCCAGCCCCCTCCTGCTCAAGCAGGAGACCCCAAGCCACTCCAGACCAAGGGCTCCCTAATCTCTTCTTGAAGGCCTCCAGTGGTGGATCACCCACGGCTTCTGGAGGGAAGCCTGCTCAGAGGGTGGATGAGGAGAAGGTCCTGTTTGCAGCCTGCCCTCCTCCGTCCCTCCTCGGAAGGCACCTGTGGCCTTAGCTCCCTTCTCAACAGGTAGAGGGAGCGGAGGGGGTTGCCACCCGTCCATGCAAACCGAGGAGGAGGGTCTTGGGGCATGGCCTTCCTGGGAAGCAGAGCAGGGGTGGTGTGGGGATTTGCGTGGCTGCAGCCCCTCCAGAGGGGAATGGCTGGAGCCAAAATTCAGCCCCCTCCCCTGCCTTCCTCGGAGGAGCTCCTGTGTGGCCCCCTGCAGGGGCTGCTGGAGCTGCCCCATGAGCCAGTCCGGCCAGACTGGGGGCCTTCCTGTGGCCTTCCTGTGGGCGGGGGCTGCCCTGGGCGGTTCCCCTTTCTGCTCATGGCTTTTGTGATCTGGACTTCCTTCTGAGCATCTCTTCCCTGCAGGGGAGCCGGGCGTCCTGGGCCAGCAGAGCGAGGGCTCCGGTTTCTTTCCTTGGGTGCCCGTAATCTCGCTTCATAAGTGAAAGGGTCCTGTCTGAGCGAAAGGGAAGAGCCCTCCCCAGAGAGTCCAAAAAGAGGGGTGCTGGGCGCCCCCGGGGAGCTCAGGGCTGCGGCTTTGCTGCCTGGGGGATTCTGGGAATTGAAGTCCAGAAGTCTTCCGCTTGTCGAGGTGGGACACCCCTGGCTGCCCTCTTGCCCCTCCATCAGCTGCTCTCGGTTGACCCCTTTCCTTTCAGAAGCTGGGCCAGCCGCCTGAGATCGTCCCACCTCCTCAGGCCCACGGTCGAAAGAGCTTAGAAGGAGGGAGGGAGAGGAAGAAAGGAAAGAGGGAGGGAGGGAGAGACCGGGAAGGAAAGAAAGAAACGCTCAGCGCATAGATGGGTCCAGCCACTCTGCCTCCCCTCTGTCACCACCTCCAGGTCTCTTTCCCCAAATCCCCTCCGTGTTGCAAGGGACTCCTGGCCAGGAGGCTGCTGGGGGGCCGGGGGTGAGAAGGAACCTGATTTCTTCATGGGGGGGGGGAGGTGATGCGTGAGCCAAGCATTGGGGGGGGCACAACTTGGGAGCTGCTGTGTCTCCTGCTGGGCTTCTCCTCCAGGGCATCTTTCATGAGTTCCCCAGCTCAGCCCCCCCCCTCCTTAAGAAGCCAGCAGACCCCCAGCGCCCCCTCCCCACGCTCCCCACGTTCCCCCATACCCCATGGCGGGGGGGGGGGGGGGGGGGGGGGCCCCCCCCCT